ATGCATTGGCTACTCTGGCTGTAATGATTCAAATTAATAACAATACTAACATTCAGCCCATCAGGCTAGATGTTAAAGATATGCCAGCTCATTGCTTCAATACAGAAGAAGAGGAAGATGGGAAGCCCTAGTATTATGATATCTTACAGTATATTAAGGATTAACAATACCTAGTTTAAGCAATAGAAATGATAAAAGGGTCATCCGAATATTGGCTATGAGCTTTTTCCTAGACGAGGATGTTCTATACAAAAGAAACCGTGATCAGGTATTACTAAGATGCGTAAGTAAAGCTGAAGTAAAAAAAAATCATTGAAGATGTGCATGATAGAATATGTGGGGCACATACCAGTGGACATATGATAGTGAGACAGATCATGAGAGCAGGATATTACTGATCAACAATAGAGAGTGATTGCATTGACTATGCTCGTAAATGTCATAAATGCCAGATATATACTGATAAGATCCATTCTCTGCCATCTGCTTTACTGTTATGACACCATCTTATCCATTCTTAATATGGGGCATGGATGTCATTGGTCCTATCACCCCAAAGGCTTCTAATGGGTATAGATTTATTTTTGTGATGATAGATCACTTCACAAAGTAGGTGGAGGCAGCATCATATGCAAACGTAACATGATCTATGGTTTGCAAGTTCATAAAGAGAGAGATTATTTGTAGATATGGACTTCTAGAGAGAATTATTTCAGACAATGCCAAGAATCTAAATAGTAAGATGATGCAAGAAATATATGCTCAATACAAGATCCAGCATCATAACTCGGCACCATACCGTCTGAAAATGAATGGGGCAGTTGAAGCAGCCAATAAGAACATAAAAAGAATTCTTGAGAAAATGATAGAGACTTATAAAGATTGACATGAGAAGTTGCCATTTGCACTGCATGCATATCGAACATCAATGTGCACCTTTACTGAGGTAACCTCATTTTCTTTGGTTTATACGATGAAGCTATACTACTAGTGAAAGTGAAGATCCCATCTTTGAGGGTTCTAAAAGAAGTTGAGTTGGAAGAAGCTAAATGGATTCGAGAATGCTATGAACAGTTACATTTCATAGAAGAAAAGAGATTGACTGCATTGTGCCATGGTCAGCTATATCAAAGAAGAATGATGAGGGCTCATGATAAAAAGATTAGACACCATTGCTTTCGAAAAAGAGAGTTGGTCTTAAAAGAGAATCCTCCAATCCAGCATGATAATAAAGAAAAATAGACTCCGAATTAGGAATGGCCGTATGTGGTGAGACGGGTTTTCTCGAGTGAAACGTTGATACTGACTGAGATTGATGGAAATTATTTACCCTATCCTATAAATTCTGATGCTGTGAAGAAATATTATGCTTGAAAAGAAAAAAGAGAAAAAATGCAATGAAAAAACATGAAAAAGAAAAAAAAATGAAAAGAAAGAAAAAAAAGAGTGAATGAAAAAGGAGAACTCAAGGCGAAAACCCTAAAAGGGCGGTTTGAGTCATAAGGGGTTTATCTAAGTTGAAAACTTGAAAAGACAGCTTAGATAAAGAGAATATAGCATCAAATTTGAAAATTCATCGACATAGAGACTAGCAAATTTAGATGAGCTCTAAGTTGTTAAATACATCAGATGGTTGAGTTTTCAGAAAAACCTTGAGATGTGTTATTATGATTATCTGATTGTTCATTTTTGGGCTTTATCCTTTATACTTAGCCTTGTAATTCTTCCTTGGCCAAAGTTTGCCAACATTTTGTTAATAAAAGACATTCTACTTCACTCTTTGTGTCCTTCTTCTGGTGACTGTTTCTCAACCATTCTTATTCTTTTCTTCTTAATACCCTACAATGGAAGAAATGTGCAAATGCATTCTTACTTTTTGAGTTTGAAATAATGATTGATGAATGAATAATGGCATGAAAGATTTTTACATTACATCGAATAAGTCAAGAGTGATAAAAGCAGAATCGAGATGTTCAGTTCTTGATAAAGACATTGAATTTGGAAAGAGATTTTTTACAAGAAGAATGTGAGTGGAAGAGATGATTGAGAGCTATACTGGCTCGATCTTAGAAGAGCAGCGTAATTTGGTATTTGAAGAATAAAGGGTGATGCCCAATAAGAGAGCTTGAGAAACTTGAGTACCACAATTAGTCAACATTCGCATAACATGCATTGAATTTCATATGCATTGCATAGCACATACTACATTCAAGAAAATATAGTGCATAAATTCAAGAAACAGGGGTATTCCAACATCCCATATAGAGAAGACAGATGTGAAGACATTTTTAAATTTGAGAAAAAGCTTGTCAGGTAAGTTTTTAATCCTTGATATAGGATGTCTTGTGATATCATGGTTGATTTGTAAGACCTCGGGGCATAATCTCCTAAAATTCCTTCAAACACAAATTTTTTAACTTCTTTGGACAGTCGTCAAGGAGCATTTATTTTCAAAAGTTGTTAAGCCTCTGATTAGAAGGAGCCTTGTTATGTTTTCAAACAGTCGTTGAGCCTCTGTTTAGAGGAGGCAATTTATTTTTCAAAAGCCGTTGAGCCTCTGATTAGAGGAGCCTTTTATTTTTTTTTAAAAAGTCGTTAAAGCCTCTGATTAGAGGAGCTTTGTTTATCTTTCAAAGTCGTAGAGCTTCTGATTAGAGGAGCTTTTGTTTATGTTTTTCAAAGTCGTTGAGCCTCTGCTTAGAAAAGCTTTGATCATAATTTTAACGAAAAAAAACAAAAAAAAGGGTCGAGTAGAGCCTTGAATGGGGTATCTACGTCTTTGCGCAATATCTGTTTCATAAAAAATGTGCAAAGAGGGGCAGCTGTAGACACCCAATTTGGTCCAAGCCCAAATCAATTGGGCTTGGTCCAAATGGGTAAGCCCATTTCAGTTTGTTTTATTTTATTTTTTTATTTATTCTGTATTTTGTATTTTTGTATTTTATTTATTATTTATTATTTATTTATCTATTATTACTATTTATTAATATATATTTTATATTATTACTTATCTGTTTATATATCTATTATACATTATTATTTATCTATTATTATTATTATTTATCTATTTACATATTATCATTTATCTATTAATATATATTTTTATTTTATTTTATTTTATTTTATTTTTTTTCTTGGTTGAATCCCGATTGGGATTAGGATTAGAAAGACTAGAATTCTGGCAAAAATTTAAGGCCGGTAGAGTTGGGATTAGATTCAAAGATTGAATCCAAATCCCAAAGAGAATTGGGATTGATTAGAAACTCTTCTGATCAATCCCTATAAATAGGTGCTGGAAGAACAGAAATAAAAAACACAGAGAAATGCAGACACAGAGAAGAAACATAAGTTAAAAAAGGGTTTTTGTGTGTCAGAATAGCTATAGAAATCGGTGAAAATTTTTTAGAATTTTAGGTGAAATTTTTTCTAGAAATTTTTGAAAAATTTTTAGATTTCGGTTGAATTTTTCGACGAAGTTTGAATTTTTTGGTGACTTTTCTAGCCAAGTTTGAATTTTTTAGCCAGCTACCCAATTTTCGATGACTATTTCCAAAAATTGACCAGCTTTCTAGCGAACTTTCGACGAAAAACCCAGATTTTGACGAAAATTTCCAGAATCCGGAAAGAATTCAACCGAAGTTCTTCGTCTGTTTAGAGAGAAGGGAGAGGAAATGAAGGGAAAAGAGAGAGAGAGAGAGGGAAGGATCGATCTACTAAAAAACAAAAGAATTAACCTTTTATACCTGTTGAAAACATCGTTTTGGCGTTACTGTGCCCAGAGGATCCGCGTATTTTGAAATCGAGCGACCCGACCTGAGCGTCGACCCGTTTTTGACTCGCGTTCAACCCGAGTGCGAGCTGTATTTGAAGTCGAGCCTATCTGAGCCGAGCCACGTCTTCAAGCCATCCTTTTTTCCTTAAGTCACGTCGAGCCGAGTCGCTAAGCCGAGCTGTTCCCAGGTTTTATTTATTTTATTATTATTATTATTATTATTTATTGATTAGATTAGAATTGTTTAATACTTTTTATTTTATTTTTCTTTATTTTTATTTTATTTTATTTTCTTTAAATAAAATTAAAAAATATATATTTTTAAGGAAAAGTTGAAAGTATCAATTTTCCTTGAAAATTTAGAAGTATCAATTTTCCTTGAAAATAAGCTTTCTAAAAAATTATTTTTGAGGAAACTTTCTAAAAAAATATTTTTAGGGAAAGTTAAAAGTATCAATTTTCCTTAAAAATAAGTTTTCAAAAGTGAATTTTGAGGAAAAATTGGAAGTAATGAATTTTCTTGAATTAAAGTTTCTAAAAATATTTTGGGGAAAAGTTGAAAGTATCAATTTTCCCTGTACAAAAGCAATCATTTTTTTCTTCTTTTTCCTTTTTATTTTCTTAAATTTTCTTTAATGTTAAATAATCCGATGATGGAGCCTTTACAAGTGAAACAGTAGTTTTCTTGCATACTCTTGAGGTGAGAGAATTTTCTTAATTTTTTGCTAAAAGTATTAGAGTCAATTGAAAATAATTTCCAATAATTAATTACTTGGTAAATTTTTAAGGCTTATTGGATAACACAAAATTAAGCTGATACCATCTTTCGATGGGCATTATGAGGCTGCTATAACCTTCTTCACACGTAACCGCACTTTCGAACCCTGTTCTGGTTAGTAGACCCGAACCTATTCTTTTAAGGACCCTTAAGCTTAGGTGTTCCTTAAAAAGATAGATTCTTTAGGTGGCCAATCGCACCTAGACAAAAAGGATTGGTGGCGACTCCTTAAGTCAATGTCTGGTGATGGATCTTCGGATCTAGACATTATGATAATATTTTCACATTGAATTTGATCTTATAGTGCAATGAGGAAAGGATGGCACTCGTCTTGTGGATTCATGGTCTTCCCAATAAGTAGCTATATGAAGGGGAGATATCTATGACTTGAAATTTTATGTTGAAGACATATGGCCCAATTTGTATAAGCAATTCAACATCCCCTAAGACCTCTTGTCTAGTTCCATCAAATGCTTAAACCACCATCTAACTGTTTTGGATATGGGTATATCAAAAGGCAGCTTGGTTAGAGTAGACACAGGCATGACATTAATAGCTGATCCATTATCAATAAGGACCTTAGCTACTATGTGATCGTTACATTTGACAGTGCTGTGCAATGTCTTGGTGCTTTTTTTACCCTCAGGTGAAATCTTATCATCGCTAAAAGAGATGTGATGTGGCACCACTAGATTCCCTACCAAGTGGTTCATATACTCCACAAATACATTATAGGCCATATAAGCCTGATTCAATACCTTCAACAAGGTATTGTGATGTGGTTCAGAGTTCAAAAAAAGTGATAGTAGAGAAATTCTGGCTGGCATCTTATTCAGTTGCTCCACCACAGAATATTCGTTGTGCTTGACTAGCTTCAAAAACTCGTAGACTTTCTTGTTAGGTATAGACTTTGAAACATCTTTCTCTGGAGTCTCTAGTTCAATATGTTTATATTTTTCTTTTTCTAAAGTTACTGAAGTGTAACATCTTTCACTTTTAGTTATACCTTTTACACCTGTTATATGGGCAGTTTCAGCTTTTAGCATATCCTTTTACTATTCTTGAGTCACCACTCATACTCATATTTCTAGGGCACCACTTTATTATCTTTATAAGAAAATGGGCATGGAACTTTAAGAGCTACTAGTTTGGGAACAAACTTATTCCCAGCTAATTATGGCTTCTCCTTACAATGTATAGTGATGGATTTTGGCACCCACCTATCTGTCATGGCCACCTCAATGTCTTCTAAGGCCTTTGGTTTTTCATATAACTCTATTTGGTCAGAGTCCATTAGCTTTTGAACTTCACCACGAAATTGCTTGCAAATATCAATTGAGTGTCCTGAGGCCCCATTATGATACTTACATCTTTGATTTGGGACCCCTCTTCTCACATAAATGCATGGAGCTGCTGGTCGTATCATCTCAGCTTTACATAAGGCTTCATATAACTGCTAAATGGCATCTTAAGCTCCTCTACTTCCTTTTCACATATTTTTCACCCGCTTCTAAAGCATTGACTGCATGACTGGGTAGGGGATTCCTACTGACATTAGGTGTTAAACTTTCATTGGTATCAAAGCTTATCAACCTTTCCTTGATTAAACGTTTCACTCTATGCTTGAAAAGGCACGTAATTCTTAGTAAAGTGTCTCACTACTCCAAAATGATAGTCACAGTGAGCATTGAAATCATACCATTTAGGGTATAGAGGTTTAAGCTGCTTAGCAGGAACATGAGTAATTTAATGGTTTTTGTAAAACTCTTGATATAGCTCTATGTAGCTTATAGGTATAGGACCAAAAGTGGGTCTTTCCATGGTTCGTGGTTTTCTGGCATTACTTTTAGTGTTGACTAAGTGAACAGGGGATCTTGGTGAAGATGGATAAAATGGTCGAGTGGTTAATTGGTAAGGATATGCATAAGTATAGTTTACCGTGTGGTGGTATGTAGGGTAGATAGGCCAAGAGTAACTTTTGAATTGCTGCCTCTCAAGACTCATAGCTTGAGTTTTACTCTCTTTTTTCTTGGGTGCTCTTTTGGAAGACTCACCTCCTTCAAGCTTACCATTTTTATGACATTTTTGATGATCTCTCCCAAAATCATCATATCAGTAAAGTTCTTAATCGTATTTTCAATCCTCTCATAATAGGGCGACTTTAGAATGCTCACAAATAATACTGTAGTTTTTTTCTCCATAAAGGGAGATTGTACTTGGATAGCTACATCCCACCACCTTTCGGTGTATTGCTTGAAAGATTCAGATGCCTTTTTTTCCATCACTTGTAAAAAAAGACAATCAGGAGTCATATCAATAATATGACGGTATTGATTAATAAAAGATCTAGTTAGATATTTCTATGTCTTTATGTGGGTCCCATCTAATTGAACATACCATCTCGCTGTCGATCCAGTTAAGCTATCCTAAAACACATGTACAAGCAGCTTCTCATTACTAGCATGTGCCACCATTTTACAATAGTACATTGTGATATGTGTAATGAGACACTTAGTACCATCATACTTATTAAACTCCGGTACTTTAAATTTTGGTGGCATCACCACGTCTGGTACTAGGCAAAGTCTCACTGCGTCTATGGATCTATAGAAATCAATTCCTTCTATAGCCTTTAATCTTTCCTCAAGCCTACTCATGGCCTGATCAGTTTTAGAACTTTTTAAGGGCACAGCTGTCTATAGCTTCTCTTTCTCTTTTGTTTCATATGCAATAGGGAGTTAAATGGGTTCAGCTATCTTTTTTGCCTAAACAGGATTGTCATAACTTTGAACATTCTCATGACTGGATGTATAAGTCATCATCGGGTAATTGATTCTATTTTGGACCAAATCTTGGAAGATATGCTAATTTAATAGCTTCTTGTGAAGTATCTTCTTCTATCGATTTTTCTCTATTTACTTTTTCTAAGGCTTCAAGAATCTTGCTCAGTTTTCCCTCTAGTGCCTCTTGAGCTTTTTTTATCCTTTCAAGGTGACTTGTATTATCTTGTTCCATCTTTCTAGCTTGAGGTCGGGTATTGTATTGATGTGTAGCTATTCTTACACCTTATTACCACAATTGAAGATTCAATGACAATGGTATGATAATGAATGAGTGTGATGCAAATGCATGAAAAAAAAAAAGAAAAGAAAAGAAGAGAAAATAAAATAAAATATTTACCCTAAAAAAAATTCAATATAAAAAACTTTCATTTATTCCACAAGAGTCTATTTTACATCGAATCTAATACTGTTCTTTATAAAAGTGCTTAACTTGCTCATACTGATCTTTAGCCTATTCAATGAAGTTTAACAGCCTTTGTTCATGCTCCCTTACTGGTGTAACTGAAGCTCTCAATGCCTCAGCCTTTTCTACCATCTCGCCTGCTTTGATTACGTATTTGCTTATCTAAGTTGTGAGGTGCTCTATGTATTTTTGTCTTCCCAACCCTTCTCTTTTGTTGTACCACACCTGATAGGATAACTCTCTGTGTCTTTTCGTGAGGGTTCTGACATGATTTTTTTTTGCTCATTTAACTTCAATGTCAGAGTCAAAATGTAATCAGCAAGCATTTGATTCTCCTGCTCAACCTCCATAAAGTCATCTTCTATTTGGGCATGCTCTTTTTTCAACTCTTCATTCTCATGAGCCAACTCTGTGTTATTTATTTCTTTGGCTTGCACCTGTATGCACAGTTTTTTATGTTCTTGTCGCAACTCCTTCAGCTCCTTAAGGGTATCATCCCGTTCTCTAATAACATTTTAGGCCTTGCTGTATTCCTTAGAAATGCTATGGACTTGGATCTCTAATTTTTCTATTATATTTTTGCATTGGACCTTTTCTTCCTGTAGCTTCAAAATTTCTTGTCTCAGTTTCTCTTTCTTCTAGCTGCCTTTTTTTTTTTGATTCCATCCTCACATCTAAAGGAGAGTCCTATTTGAACAAGGTAGATGAAGTGCAAACCTAACGTTCTGTGAAATCCATGAGGGCTTTTGTTGAAATAGCTTTGGGGTAAGAACACTATGCAATCTATAAACATATTTATGAATGTGCACAAGAAGAAAAGAAATAAAAGAAGACAAAGAGATTAGTTAGTCACTTCAATAAAATATAGAATAAACATCACATAACAAGTAAGATAACAACATAACCTTGAATTTTGGATTATTTACAAAAGGTGGAAAGACAAGGCTCTATCTATGGTAGGGCTTTTAAGGTTGACTATATGCGGTTTGGGTTAATTCTAAAAGGTTTCCAAATTGTTCCCTACATCATGGTCCATTACAGACTAGTAAGGCACCCCCGATCCTTACCCATCATAAGCTACAAGCGAAAAGGGTTCAATCTGAGTGGGAGTGTTTTGCAGGCCCATGCAGAGACATGAAATCTCATGAAGGCATAGGTACTTCACTCCCTTCTAAGGGTAGAGCCTGGGTGGAGGGCTTATGTTATGCACATGCAAATGAATGACAGATATATATATAAAATAAATAAATAATCAAGCAAGTATAATCAAATAAATAAGTAGGTATAGACAAGGAAAATAAATAATAAAGTAGATATAAGCAATAAAAAGGAATAATTCCAAATTTATTAAACAAGGCTTGGATAATAAGAAGTCATTTACTAGCTTGACTCTCAATGTCTCCAGTGAAGTTGCCAAACTATCATAATGTATAGATTCGTGAACCTACCGCTAAACATGAATTAAAAGAGAGTCGCTACCAATCTTTTTTGTTTAGGTGTAAATGGCCACTTGAAACATATCCTGATCGATGAAAATAGACGTTAGGTTTATGAGTCGGTTACGTATGGGAAAGGTTGTAGCACCCCCATAACACTCATCCAAAGGATGGTACCTATTTGATTTCAAATTATCCAAGCCTTTATCATTTTTATGATTTACCAAAGAATTTTAATATTAAAAATTAATCTTAAAATTGTCCTAATAGTTTGGTAGCAATTTAAAATAATCTTCTCACTTCAGGAGTATTCATAGAGACTAGTGTCCCATTCTGAAGAGACTCCATCATCAGATTTATTGATTTATTTTATTATGAAAAATTAGCAAAGCCTCCCAATAGTTTGGTAGGGCTTATTTCCAAGTAATCCTCCAATAGTTTAGAGGATAAAAATTATTTTTGTTTATTTGAAAATATTTTTATTTTTATTAAAAGGATTTTATTTTATTTTTTTTGGAAAATTATTTTTCTTTCTTTTTTTTTTTTTACTTTCAGAAATAAATGGCAAAAATAACATTTTTTTTAAAACAAAGACAATCGAATATATATATATATATATATAGAAAATAAGGGAAATAAAATGAGTTAAAATAAAATCAAATAAAATCAAAAAATAAAAATAAAATGGAAAAAGGAAAACCTACGATTAGGTCGGGTCAGAACCAAGGTCAACGAGCGAATCCTCATTAGGTCACTCATGGGTCAAGGCTTTCCAAAACGGTGTCATTTTGAGTCTGTATAAATGGCACTTTTCAGCCTTTTTCTTCAAATGCCTTATACTCCCTCTCTCTCTCTCTCTATCCAAAAAAAAACCTCTGCCTTCTCTCTAAAAAATCCACCGATAAATTCAATCAAAAATTAAAAATCTCATCGATTTTAGGGGATGTCGCCAAAAAATCCAATCGAAAACTAGAAAACCCATCGATTTTTGGAAAACATGTCAGATTTTGGAAATCTTGCCAGAATCCTGTCGGAAACATCAACCTTCATCAAAAAATTTAGCCAAAAAATTCAAAGTTCTTAAAAAAAACCCAGAAAACCCAAAAATTCTCAAAAAAACCTAGATTTCTTCAAAATTTTCCATAATACTCTCAGAACCTCCCAGAATTGTCCTGAACCCTAATTCTAACCCAGCAACCTAAAATCAAACCCACAATTTCATACTGAACCCCAGAGTCCCAAAATTAAACTCATAGAACTCTTTCTTCCCAAAATTTTCCAAAATTTTTTCAATAGCTTTCTGTCAAAATTTCTGTGTCCGTCTTCTGTAGAATTAATCCAATTTATAGGCAGTCCTAGGAATA